GGCGTTGAGAGCTTGTTGCGTCACCCCTCGCCCTTGGGAGCTTTGCTGTTCAGAGATTGTTGCGTTGCCTCCCGTTCCTGAGCCTTGGCTGGGCCTTGGTGTCAGGAACTTGTTACGTCACCGCTCTCTGCTGGGAGCCGTAGTCTTCTCAGCTTGTGTACGTCACCGTTCGCTCTTGAGAGCCTTGGTGTGAAGAGCTTTTTGCGTTACCGATCGCTCTTTATTTGGCGTCTCTGGGCCTTCGTGGAGGTCGTATTGGGGCCCTTTTGGAGCCCTTTTGGGAGCCTCTTGGGTGCCTCTTGGGGCTTCTTGAGGGGCTTTGGGGGCCTCCTGGGAGCGTCTTGGGGCGAAAGGCTAGACTTTTCGGTTCGTGGTCCCCCTCTTGGGGCCGTCTTGGGGCTCCCTTGGGCCATCATCTTGGGCGCCTGTGGGGCCGTCTTGGCGCCCTCTTGGGCCGTTTTGGGGGCCTCTTGGGAGGCTCTTGGGCCGTCTCGGGGCGGTCTTGGGGGCCTCGTGGACCGTCTTCAACGCCGTGAAAGCCGAAAAGCCGTGCATGCTCAACATGTACGTTTTCCAATCGGAAATAAATGATTGTGGCCTCCTTGTGGCCTCTTGGGACGCCTCTTGTGGGCCTCTTGGGGCTTCTTGGAGGGCTCTGAGGGCCTCCTGGGAGCGTCTTGGGGCGAAAGGCTAGACTTTTCGTTTCGTGGTCCCCCTCTTGGGGCCGTCTTGGGGCCCTCTTGGGCCGTCTTGGGCGCCTCTTGTGCCGTGTGGTGGCCCTCTTCGGCCGTTTAAGGGGCGTCTTGGGAGCCTCTTGGAGGCCTCTTGGGGGTCTCTTGGGCCGTCTTGGCCGGTCTTGGGCTCTCTGGGAGCGCTCTTGGGCCGTCTCTGGGGGGAATCTGAAAAACATGCAAAAACCCGAAGGAAAACCCGAACACGGCCATTACCAACATTGCATCCGGCCCGTTTACAAGTGTGCAAGAGCTTCACGGAATGGAGGCGGTTCGTTTTCAAAATGTGGCTCTCGCCTTCGCGCCGTGCACATCCGTTTTTGTTCAAATATCAAAAATTCCATTTTGTGAAAACGGTTCGTTTTCAACATGTGGCTCCCGACTTCGCGCCGCGCACGCTCGTTTCAAGAATGTACGAGAGGTTCGCGGATTTAAAGTGGTGCAGTTTCAACATGTGGCTCGCGCCTTAGCGCCGCGCAGACTCGTTGTCTTGAACATGTGCAAGAGTTTCACTGGTTCTCAAGGCAACGTACCAGCAAGTCTGTTTTGGAGCGTTTCAGGACTGTCAGGGCAACACACATACGTTGGTTGGCGGTGTTGATATCCTAGGGAATGGTGTTTTCGCGCGACTCAGGATCGCCGAGACGTAACAGTCAGGTTAACTCGTGGCGTTGAAGTCCTGCATAATGTTTTGGCACGCTTCACAGTGTTCACACGGTTGTCCCCCAACGGGGCAACTCCCTCAGTGGGAATGACCCCTAGCAAGGGCCTGCGAGGAAGGATCTTGGATGGAAGGTGTATTTCAACACCGTTGGTGAGCCGTGGGTTTGCACGGGTCCTCTCCTTTTCAAAATGTGGCTCTCGCCGTGGCGCCGCGCACATTCGTTCTATATATTTGCAAGGGCTTCGAGGATTTCCATGATCAGCGTACCAGAAATGGTGTTTGGGAAAGGTTCAGGATTATGCGGGCGCAGCAGTTCTGTTCATTAGCTGTGTTGAAATCTCAAATATGGCGTTCTGGCACGACTCTGGATCGCCAAGACGCAGCAGTCAGGTTGATACGTGGCGTTGAAATCCCAAGAACCATGTTTTTGCACGCTTCAGGATCTTCAAACTGTCGTCTTCCAACGAGGCTGTTCTCTCAATGAAAATCAACCGTTGTAGGAGACTATGAAAAGGGAGCTTGGAGGGAGGGTAAATTCCAACATCGTTGATGACTCTTGGGTTTCCACTGGTCCTCCTCCTCCCCCCCCTCTTCCTCCTCTTCCTCCCCCCCCTCCTCTCCCTCATCTGCCTATTCCTCCTCGACCCTCCTCCGTCCTCCCCCACTTCCCCTCTCCTTCCTCCTCCGATCCCTCCTTCATCCTCCCACTCTAGGGTATGATGGCTTCCCAAATCCATTCTTCCACTGCATGCTCTTTCAATCCCGATTAGGGCAACCCGCCTGGGCATCGTCTCTGGATGGGCCGGTGGGGTTACGCGAAGCGTCTAGAATAGCAGAGATGGCGACGGCGACGGTGAGGAGGAGAAAGTGAGAATACGGTTCAGGAGGTGATGGTGAGTGCGGGAGGGGGGCAGCAATCAGGTGGCGGCCTTTCCCTTCCTGGGCCGCGAGGAGGTGGGCATGGAGCAAGCGCTACAACTGTGCCACAGCTAACACGGGCCAGCGGAGTTGGCAAACCAGCACAATATGCCAGGGAGGCCGACGGAGGTGCTCATCTTCCCTCTGCGCCCCTGCGTCGGCGCTCTGCCTCGTTAAGCGCCTCCCCTCTCATCCTCCCCCCAAACCTCACCTTGCCCTCCCTCCTCTGCTCTTCACCACTCCCCTCCTTCAGCCACTGCCATGAATCCCGAAACCGATTTCGGACATGCATGTCATGCTGAAAACGATGCGGTACCCTTTTTCTCCGCCCTCCTCCAGCCCCTCCGTTCCTCTCCTGCAACACTTTCACCCCGCCCACATCTTTTTCTCTTCTCCACCCCCTGCCAGGATATCAGAGTGCATTCGCACGCTGGGCCGTGGTAAGTTCAGACTGCATACGAAGCCTCAATGCAAATTGGATGCCCACGGCATTACCAACAGCAAGCGCGGGTGCAGAGGTCCAAACAACTCTTCAAGCGCATGCCGTCTGCAAGAAGCTCGAACAGCCCCAGCCTTCCCGCTTCGCGGCGTGCCCACAAAATGGGGCTCGCCAAGGCGAGTCTACGTGCCGTCTGCAAACACTCCGACCTCACCACCGTTTCCTACCTAGAGGTGGAGAGCAGCCGTAGCTGTAACAATCGAGTCGTGATGGGCGCAGGCAGCAAACTCCCAGGCCGATGCCCGGCCGCCCTCCAGGCAGAGTGAGGCAGAGTGAGGCGAGGAGAAAGAGGAGAGGCGAGGAGTGCTCAGAACAGTAAAGTGGAAAATAGAGAGAAAAACGGATGGATGGTGGGGGAGAAACGAGAAGCTGAAGAGTATATGGGCAACCGTGACTGCGAAGGAGCAGGGAAGGAGGAAAATGACATGGATACAATCGAGGAGCCGGAGGAGGAAAGAGGAGTGGGGAGAGGAGCAAGCTAGGCACATCCTTCCCAAACGCTCCATCCCATTGCGGTGAATCCTGTTCTTCCAACCGACTGGAGAGTTCACAGAAGTCTTTATCCCCCGGATATCGCTCGCAGGATTTGACAAACCGCTTGCCGCACTACCGGCACGGGGGACACTGGAGGAGAGAGAGAAGGATGAAAAGCAGCAGCAACAGGAGCATGAAGAACATTACAAGGAACAGCAAGGGAGACGGAGCAGCGTGGGGGGCGCTCTGGATCTGTTTGAAACCTGCACGGCTACACCACTACACAATTACACCACTACACACTTACACTATTGTACACATCGGTGTGCGCGCTACACCACTACACACTTACAGTACTTTGTTGAGGGGGGGAAATCCCACCAGCCCTCTGGGCGTCGGTGGTTTAGGGAGTTTCCTCTTTCAACCCTCCTTCTTCCCCTTCGGGGAGGGGTTGATCACTGTTCCCTATTAATAAACACCCCCTCCCCCAGGCGACTGGGGGCCAACCAGGGTCCATGACGACAGCCCCCCACCATTCCTTGTAAAAAACAATGCAAACCACACTCTGCCTCCAAATTCGGAACATGCGCAGCCAACCCGATGGCGCCCCCCCCCACCATCCCTGTCAACAAAACAATACATAGTACACTTGGCGGCGGCGGCGGCGGTTGCAGCGGCTGCGGCGGCGGCGGCGGCGGCTGCGGCGGCTGCGGCGGTGGCGGCGGCGGCGGCGGTGGCGGTGGCGGTGGCGGCAGCGGCGGCGGTTTGGCAGCGGGGGGCGGCGGCGGCGGCGGCGGCGGCGGCGGCGGCGGTGGCGGCAGCGGCTGCGGCGGCGGCGGCGGCGGCAGGCGACGGCGGCGGCGGCGGCGGCGGCAGGCGGCGGCGGAGGACAGCGGCGGCGGCGGCGGCGGCGGCGGCGGCGGCGGAGGCGGCGGCGGCGGATTGGCCCCCAGTGGCTGCCCATTCAAAGACGACTGCTGAATATGCTCAGGCTCGGGCCAGACTCGGGTGCTACGTCTGTGTTGGGAGGGCGGGTGGGAGTGAGCGAGACGGCTTGCGGGCGGGGAGGGGGTCTTGACCGCTCCCCCTACCCCCTCCCCTGGACCTGGCCGGGGGGGTCCGCGAGTCGTCGGAGCGTCCAAAACGGCCTCGGCGAGGAAGCCACAATCATTTGTTTTACCATGGTTTTGGCTTCATTTTGGCCTCTTGGGGGGGGCGGGCGCTGATTGAACACCCCCCTTCCTGTGATCGATCTCACCCAAGATGGCCCAAAGATGGCCCAAAAACGGCCCCTAAGGCTCCCAGGTGTGCCCCAAGAGGGCCCCAAGAGGTGGCCAGGAAGCCCCAGGAGGCCCCCAGGATGCCCCCAAGGGGCTCCCAAGAGACCTCCAAGAGACCTCCAAGAGGCCCCAGAGGCCCCCCAGAGGCACCCAAGACGCTCCAAGAGGCCTCGGCGACAATGCCAAAATCGTTGATTGTCCGTCGGTTTTGGCCACATTTTGGCCTCCTGATGGGGGCACTGCTTCAGATGACTCCAACAACGCCTGGGAGAGCCAAAGATGATTTCCAAGATGGCTCAAGATATCCCTAGATGCCTCAAGATGGCGCCCACGATGCTCCAAGAGGCCCCAAGACCGCTCCAAGACGGCTCCAAGTGGCCAAAGAGCTCCCCCAGGAGGCCCCGAAGAGGCCAAAATCCTTCCAAAACCATAGG